CAAATTACCTCCAGTCAGTAGTCTTACCTGGAGGCAGCAGTTCTGACCTGATTTACAATGATCTCTATTTGATTGTTTGTCTACGTATGCTCCTCCTCTTATCAGGAGATGTTGAACTCAATCCTGGTCCTATAACATCAGGTAATCAGAGTTTGTGCATGGAAGTGAAAACTTTAATCACTTTGAAAATAATGCAATATTTATTTTTATTTATTAATTCATTTTTTACAGTCATAAAGCCTCTATTTCTTATTAATTCATGATAGACAAAGAGCTTAATAAGGCAGCAGTCATGAAGATATTTGGTTCTTCTGCTCACCATTGCATGACAATTGGGGCTGGATTGGGTGTGAAGACTGCTGATCTCCAACAAATACCAGGAGCAGCAACTAACAGTCTTATGATGGTATTCGAGAGGTGGTTTGATACTGATAGAGATGTCAATTGGGATACATTAATAAAACTTTGTTATGACTTTCCTGATCAACTGGGCAAAGCAAAATCTAACCTCCTGAAATATATAGGTATAAATTAATCATAAAAATAAACTAGTCATTAATTTCATAGTATAAATTGTATAAATTAAATATAATGTACTATGAAATAGGATTGATTCAAGATACATCAGTCAGTGATGATCCCTCACTAGCATCTCATTCAGCAAGTAGCTTAAGTACTAGTGCAGGTAACTTGTTGATGTGCTGTATAATCTACTGCTGCATGTTTGGAATACGATATCTATTTTACTTTGAGTAACAATAATAATTAAACTATTCTTATATTAATAGGTGATACTCCTTGTGACATGCCGGTAACTACTCCTTTTGAAAGTACAGCAAGTGAAGAGAAAGTTTACGAGTCTTTAGATGATTTACGTCTGAAATTCTCAGATTTAGTTACGCTTTTTGAGACAAAATTTGAAGAAAAATCAAATCATGACAAACAACTAGCCACTGATGTATCTAAGTGGCTTATAGCACACATGGACTGGGAGCATGGCTCAGTAGAAAGCAATATTGATGATATCTTAAGAAAGATCCGACCTTATTATGACTTTATTGATTGTAAACTGTTACTGGACATGAGCAAAAAGTTCCTACAAGATGTAACATTTGCTGATGATGGAGTAACTTATAAACTTGTTGATGAATTACACAGCCATACACTAATGAGTAAGAGCCTGTGCACATCAAACACAGTTTCTGAACTCAAAAAGTTCTTACAGGAACACTTTAAGCATTAACATACACCTTCAAACTTGCTGGGATGATATAAGTATTAAAGGATTACGCAAACTTATTGAAAAGTTTCTGCCTGAAAATTACAAACAATCAATAACTGGATTTGTGACATAGCCATATTTCCTGGATCTGTCATCATCAAATTACATATTCTTGATTCTACAGCTGATAGTCTAAGAGAATATACTAAAGAAAAGTTACAGTTTATGCGTCTCATTGGTATATTTAGTTTATACATTAATGATCATCCTGTCCTTCAAGAAGATGAGAATATGAACTTCACCTTTGAACTAGCTCTCCTTGAGGCAGTCACAGCTGGTAATAATGAAGCAGTAGAGTTTCTTCTTCAACTAGAAA